CCCAGCGCTCTTTCCTGCCCATGGCAGGGGGTCAGGCTTGATGATCTGCTCAGGTCCCTTCTGACCCTACCAACTATGAAACTATGAAACCATGAAACTATTACTGTAGAGGTAGTGTAAACATACCCTAAGAGACTTAGATGCTTGTGCAGACTTAAAGTACCATCTGCCTTAAAGAAATAAGGGAACTTTGAATTGTTAGGACAAGGTTTTGGGTAGGGGGATGCCAATTAGCAAACTGGGAAAGTTGACTTTTTTGATGGTGATTATGGCTGCAAAGAAAATGACAGACTAAGATTACTATATTTTTTCACATACTTCATGCCCTCAAATAAAATATACACCTTGTTTTTGGAAGGCAGAATTTAGAAAAAAAGATTTTTTTCAGGCACAGTGAACTGTGTGATATTTCTATATCGAGGAAGTGCAGCATCCCAGGGGACAGTGTGACACATCATGAACTTCCTGGTGTGGCAGGACAGCAAAAACTAGGCCCCAAACCCTTACAGGGAAAGTAGAAAGACTGTTACTTTTTTACTGTAAATAGGTCTTTCTTGTGATTTAAAAACAACTTTATTATTTACAGGAATAAACATACTCACCAAGATACTACAGACTACATGTAGCAGCTCACTTGCCCTGAACCAGCTCAACCACTGCTTCAGGCACAAACTACAATGCTCAGCAAATAGCTAGTGCAAATTCCTTAGCAGCCAGGAGAGGGTTAACACAGGAGTCCACCCTTTCTGCTTACTGGACTATAAAGAAGTAGCATCCATATTGGCAGACACTAGAAGACAGCATCTCCATGGTTTTATTTCTCCTTGCTTCTATTCCAGCAAAAGAAGTCAGCTTCCCCAGTTAGACATGCACGCCAATTTTGGAGGCCCGTTTTTTCGGGGGGAAGTGCATGTGGGCGGTCCCTCTGTGTGGTTGTCATACATCCACATAGCTTATCACATGCACGCATACTAATTTGGTCCTTCCGGGCCTTCTTCTAATTTGGTCTGTTCCCCCAAACCCAGGACTTAGCCTACCCCCACCCTGCTTTGGGTCCGTGTTAGCTGGTGCCACTTTTATCTCGTGTAATGGAACAGTATGGTACATACTCCCTCTGTTCCCAAACTGTTTTCCAGACTAGGTGTCCTTGTTGGCCTTGTTGTATTAGACAGCCTGTCTGCTTCCAAGGCTGGAGAAACTGTGCAACTGTGTGACCCAGACTCTTAGAAATCAATCAACCCCTGCTGCCTATCCTGAACCATATTAATGCATATATTTATACCTCTAAGCCAATTCCCAAAAAATAAACTTTTAAATACCATTTCTAAGCCAACATAGTATGGCTAACACAATCTAGCTCTAAGTTTGTAGTGATGAGTATTATGATAATACTATCACATATATTTCTTATTGTCTTCTCTAAATATTTTGCTTTGAGATAAAAAAAACAAACCATCCTACTGGATTGTCTCAACCTAAAGATGAGGAAAAGAACATCAGCACTGTTCAAGCTGAAGTGAAGCTATATAGGATCAAATTTATTATTTTGATTTTAAATGAAAGCCTTATAACAGCTTGTGTAGAAAACCAATGATTTTGAGTTTTATTCTTTTGTACATCTCGCAGATAAATTTGGTCAGCGAGCATATGTTGGCAAAGTTTGCATGGATATCAATAACGCTGTTCCAGAATACAAGGAAACCACTGATGATTCTGTCAAGGACACAGAAAGGTAAAATGATTATACTGATAACATCATCTTGAGAAATTAGGCATCCTATTTTTTAATGTGAATTGGAGTCAGACAAGTTAAGGCTTAACATACACTTTATTTAATTGAAAATAGACCAAATTTCCTCTCACATCAATTATTCTTCAGAATAATGATACTTACTTCAATGGAATTATCCCTAATTTACAGTTGGGCAAATGGATGAATATTAACTCCACATACTGTATATATACATATACTTGCAATGAGTCCTCTGACAAAAACTGTAGGTTTAACATCAAGGTTTTGACATTGTACTGAATTAGATGGGGTCATTTGGAAGTCATATTCTGATTATCCACAAGCACACACATAATTTGGCTTTTAAGAGTAGTCACATACATATTTGGGTGTTTGCAGAATCAGGGCATAAAGAGACAATCTGATAACACGCTGCACAGTGGTATTAACATCCTATGGCATGAGGGTGGAATTGCTACATTATTTTGCGGGCCATGCTGAGTAAAATGCCAGTAAAACCTATTTATTGCTACAAATCGTCAGGGATTTTAAACGACATATATTTAAAGAACTGTTATTTTTAACATTAGTAGCTATGATCATTTTTATTTCCCTTTGCCTATGATCCTAGGTTTCCTTAATACTACCACTTCTTAAGGGTGACAGAGCCTTTAGTTCTAGTATGATTTAAGCATTTCAAAATGCTCTAAAATAGATTTTCTGTAGTGCCCCGTCATGTGTCTGAGATCCAATACCTTGTGATGACATTAATAATGAATGCTCTACAGCTTTGAAGAGAGGAGTTTCAGATCTCTTAGATAAAAGATGTATGTCCTGCTGGGAAAGTTTGTCTCTGTGATGCCTGATGCCTAGCTACCTGCCGTAGGAGATATTCTACCTTTTTGGTGAAGAAAGACACATTTCTTTGGCAGGTTCACTTATGTTTTTTTAAATGTCTGCTTTCTGACAGTTGCTCAGGGTCTTGGAGTATTGTAAGGGATCCTGGCAGAGGTGAATTAGGGCCAGCATGCAGGTGAGGAAGTCAAACGATTCACATTAATTCCCAGACAAGTTTTTTACCCATTTAATATGAGGGAAAAACCCCTTCATCTTGGAATCAAGGGGGGGGGGGAGACACGCATCTGCTCTG